GATCCTGATCTTGGTTGCATCGGTTCCCTAGCTGAGGCACAACCTCAAGCTGAAGTTCAAGATCTCCAAGATAACAGCCGTACTATGCCTAGGCGTGCAGGTTGTCTGTGCACCGCCCACGACAGGCACGGTCACGGCTACTAGGGTGAGCACCACGACCACGACTACCCCGTCCACCGTTGCAGGGACGCCGACCACGACCACGGCTACCTCGTCCACCGTCGCAGGGACCCCGACCACGACAGTGGGAACTACCTCAAGGTCGAGGGGCCGCGGGGATGTGCCTCTCGTTGAGCCGAGGCCTAGGAGGAACCGCCGGCCCAACAGCCGGCTGTTCGGCCAGGACTGGGTCAACTGATCGGTCATGGTTTTCAGCGATATTACTGACCCTCGAAGCGCTTGTTGCATGCCGTCAAGTTTTGGCCTTGCTCTTGATTTAAATCTGATCTGAGATCTCCACCCGCAAATTGACTTTGCAGCAGATAACTGACTGTTACAGCCGTTGGGAGAAGAGAAGAGACGGGACCATGCTTTGGCAGCAGGGATAAAGCACAGCAACTCTGAACCTGACAGAACTGAAGAAAACGGAACTGAAGAAAGGGAGAAAGCAGAGCAATGCTGGAGCAACTCTGAACCTGACAGAACTGAAGAAAACGGAACTGAAGAAATTTTTTGCAGGCTTGCACTGTTGCACAAGGAGATCACGACGGTGTTCTGCCCCATTGCAAGGTTGATGAGGCACACAGGAAGAACAGAGGAGACTCCTTGTACATGGCGGTTTCAGGATCATTTGTTCTGGCCGATCTTTCTCTCTAGTTTGTTACACCTTGTTGGACAGTAAAAGGCGTCAGTGTGTGTACTGTGTAGTGTGTACCAAGGTTAGGTGGTGTATCAGTTAGCCCTTGTTTGTCAACGGATAAAATGGTGTGTGGGGTTGCTCTTTCTTTTCCTAGTCCTAGAGGGGGAAACGAGTACATAAATACGGTAAATATGCACAAAGAAATTTTCGGCAAGTTTGCTGTTCAGAACCGAGAGGCTGATATTATCTGATATAGTTAGCACACTGTTTTGCCCAAGCACATCCGTGTGTCCAGGCAAACATCATATAACGGTACCATAGCGGGGAACTCAACCATTTGTAGCCAGTAGTGGTCTACTTATTCGCTTTGCGTACTCTGCTTCATTATAATGAGCAGATACAAACTCTAGGAAGATATCAAGTCACTTCACAGCTTTAAGGAAGGAGGAAGAGGGGTCGGCCTTGCTAGCGGACGCTGAAAGAACCATCCCTTCTCCTCAGTGAATCCAGGGGCTGCAGCTGCACCATTCCCAGCTGCTGCTGCAATTTATCATGAACAAAAATTGGAGCAATCGTCAGAATCTAACCAAGTATTCATACTACGTATACAAGAAGAGGCTGAATGTCCCTTTGTTTCAAGTAAATGAAAGCAACGCGTGGGGCAAAAAGAAACAAATGGATCGCTTGCTATGAAAAACTCAGACAATTTTACGTACAGTGTTGCCATAAAAAGTTTGCAAATTATGGTGCCTACGGAAATAACATATGCAAATGAAGAACAAGTTTCTTTCCCCTCTCTGAACTGTAGAATGAGATTGAAAATACATAGCAAGAACGACTGTGTTCAAGTTTGAAGGTCTTACCCGGAGCAGCATCTTGACGTGGTAAGACTTTTGGACGATCTGATGGCGTCGTCTCGCCCATCACAGCAGGGAGATGCCCATGGGTGAGGGCCAGAACGATAGCCAGCACTGCGAACACCTTGGAGGCCATATTTTGGGCTCGGTCACTCCACTACTGAAAGAGCTTGTTTGGGTGAAATGAAACTGGGATGGTGCTTGCTATATAACAGACGCCAATGTGACAGGCTCACGTTCGGCCATCGCATAACAAGGCAAATATATCTTGTAGAGTCCACTAGGCCTTCTCAGCATCATGCAATGCTGGAAATTAAGTAGACTATTCAACAAAGGAGGAATCAGTCCACACTACTCCCTCCGTTCCGAATTACTTGTCTTGGATTTGTCTAGATACAGATGTATCTAGACTCATTTTAGTGTCAGATACCTCCGTATCTAGACAAATCCAAGACAAGTACTCCCTCCGTTCCAAAATAGATGACTCAACTTTGTACTAACTTTAGTACAATGTTGGGTCATCTATTTTGGAACGGAGGGAGTAATTCAGAACGGAGAGAGTATATGTTAAAGGGTGCCAAACTAAACTGCCCAGCCGACATGAGTTCGGCCATCGACATGAATTAGCATGTGCGAGGTGCTAGCTTAGGTAATAAAACTTTTGTCGCATAGGCCATCAACGTGTTGACCACAGGACATACCATTTTATTTTATTTAAACACAAACTGCTTCATTCAGATAAGAACAATACAAATGCAGTTTTGCAAAACAGACTTTGCAATACAGAATAATAACAACCTCTAACATCAGCGAGTTGTCGTAGACGTGAATCACCCACACCGAGAATGTCATTGTAGCAAAAAACCATCTGCGCTGCCATGAGAACTCCACCAAGAATCCTCCTTGAAATTTTTTAAGCCGCTTGAGGCACCCAGGCTATGTGGGATCCGTAACCGATGAATGCACCTTGAACATGATGACAAAGTCATATCCAATGGTTGCGGGTGAGATCTGAAACCGATGAATGCATCATCCCTCCAAACGGTAGCGGGGGACGATGTTTTTTTCACCGAGGAAGATCTCGCTGATCCAAGGCCATACAAATTTACTAGACCCGTAATGTAAGAAGCAAGAACCTTATATTTAGGACATGTTTATCTAGCGAACGTTGTTGGGGGCGAATTGCCAGCGAACGTCCCTCTCGCCATGCCAACATAACTAAATTTGCCATGCATTTTGAGGGAAATGCCATGTACGGAATGAAAAATTCCCATGTATAAGAAATAATTGCCAGTGATCGTTTTTAAATGCCATCCAAGTGATTTGGATCCAATGGTTGTGAGGGCGTTTGCTGGAAGTGCCTTGCCAGCGAACGTTTGCCCATTAGCATTTCTGTACATTTATACATGGGCTTAGAAATAGATTTTTTTAGAATCGCTTAAGAAATAGGTTGATATTCTTTTTGTCTTAGGTTGTGCCACACGGTTGATAATTCGTGAATGTTATTCTGGATGTGTTTGTATCTTGCCTATTACTCCCTCCGTTACTAAATATTTGTCTTTCTAGACATTTCAAATGACTACTATATACGGATGTATGTAGACATATTTTAGAGTGTAGATTCACTCATTTTGCTCCGTATGTAGTCGCTTGTTGAAATGCCTAGAGAGATAAGTATTTAGGAACGGAGGGAGTACGAGATAGACATATGCCTCGCCTCAAGTAGAGTATGGGGCCGGCTCAGTAGTATTACGTGTGTTAGTTTCTTTCTTTTTCCCTCTTTCCTTTTCTAAATTTCAAAATTAGAAATAAAAATTTAAAAATAATTTACTTCACTTTTAAAAATATAAATAAATTTTCATGTAATGTGAAAAATTGTTCCCGCAATTTTGAAAATGGTTCATACCATTTCCAAAAAATGTTCATGATATTTAAAAAGTGTACGGACAATTAAAAGTATGTTCATGACATTTTTAAAGGAAATCATCAGAATGTTAAATTTTGTTCTCCCTCATCGCCCCGCACAGCCACACTCGGATGCTGAGGAGACCTGGTCTTTGGCTCCTAGATGGGGATGTACCTTGAAAATGAATCCTCTCTCTCGCCTCCTCTCCACTGAAAAATGAGGTGCAGTGTGGCAGTGAGATTCGTACACGATCAGACGACGAAAAAAACACAACCTGAAGTGAAATGAAAAACAGATAGCCAAATCCCTAAAAAAACAGACGGCCAAAAGTTAGGATAAGTGTAATTTTTTAATTCTGCTGAAATAGTAAAACAAACCCACGCAACCCGGATCGAAACCCAAATGCAAAACGCCTCACATGCAGCCAACACCTGTGCAGTCCTGGCCATGGGCAGCCCGGCCCGGTCGGCCCGACCCAGCTCGACCCGACCTTATCCACGGGATGGGCTCGGGCCTAAGTTTTGAGCCCGATGGCCGGGCTGGGCCCGGGCCTGTCATTTTTGCCGTTTAATGAAGAGGCCCGGCACGTGGCCTGAGGCCCGATGGGCTTTTAGCATGATGGGCTGGGCTTGGGCCCAATTTTTAGGCCCAACAGCCGGGCTGGGCCTGGGTTTTTTGTGTCGGGCTTTGGTTGGCCAGGCCCGAGGGATGGCCAGGTATAGCTTGAGCCCCTAGGTCCGGGCTTCAGGGCTTCGGTCCGTTGTCCCCGGCGCCGCCGTGAGCGAGAGCCAAGACGCACCATGTGTGTTACCATAGATGTCGGATCTGAACGGACGCGGGGGCAGATAGCATTGGCGAAGAGGAGAAAGGTAGCCGCTTGGATATTCTGATCCATTTAGCAAACAATTTGGCTGGTTTCGAGAAAAGAAACAGTCAGATCTAGATGCAAAGAAGTTTCTTCGGGCCGTTCCCTATTTTCCCCTCTTGCCAGTAGATCCGCCGATCTCTCTCTGTCCATGAGTTCCGCTCCTCGTCAATTTTGTGAGTGTGGATCTCTGGTTCACTCTGGTAATTTTGGTCCAAGACACATCTTCCAAAGCAAAGTAAAGGTACGTGACGATATAGGGTTACTTTCATATGTCATTATGCTACCTTATGTCCAATTTTGTGAATAATGTCGAGGCGTGTCTTGCGAGCTTCCCCTGCCGATGTATTTTGACCAAGCAATTGTAGCTGCGAAATTGATACTTATTATTGTAAATCACATTTTCACTGCTCAGCAATTTGAGTTTCTCTCTTACATAGGTAAATTTGCTGCTGCTGAAAATATTGCGAGCCATCTGCTGACATCTCTCAAGGTTGATCGGCATCCTGAATAACCAAGCAACAAATGGCTACCCGTGAAAGGTCAAGATTCAAATGTATAGACATAGATAAGATGGCCAGTTCCATGACGAGGGATATCAAATCTTTCTGGTCACAATATGATCCGGGTGGTTATGGCACTAACATGTGCCCAATCCATAGAGTCCCAGAACACATTCGTGAGGTTGACCGTGTGGCCTACGAACCAATTATTATATCGTTTGGCCCGTATCACCATGGAGGCCAACACTTTCAATACATGGAGAAGAAAAAATGGGAACATTTAGACAGGGTACTAAAACTGAACTGTAATAGAACTCTGCATGATTACATTAAAGCAATCGCCGAAGTAGAGAAGCAAGCAAGGAAATGCTACTCGGAGCAGATAATAATGGAAAGGAAAAAGTTTGTGCAGATGCTTTTGTTGGATGGGTGCTTCATACTTGTGAATATTGATGAAAATGTCGGCACCAGGATATCAAATTCCAGAACTTTGAACCAAGGACCCACCCAAACAGAAGTTGATGGAAACGTGACGGGAGAAGAGCTGGAACAGATTTATGTGGAAATTATTCAGGAAACAGGAACAAATACCAGAGAGGAGGATGCAAACCAACGGACAAGCGTTCAGAACAGTTACGGTCCCGGGGATTGGTTGAGTGGCCCTGCATGGCATGACATGCTCTCCTTGCTGGAGAACCAGATACCCTTTTTCGTTATGGAGAGGGTCTACGAGTTAGTATCAGGTGAATGTACAGAAGTTGGATCGCTTTGAAGAAAAGCTGCTGAACTTGTAGAGGTCCTCTTGCGTCATTATCCAATAGCTATACAAGAGAACGATAGACCCAAACATTTCCATCATCTGCTCCACTTATATCACACGTACTTGAGACCTAGTCAGAGATTTGATGAGGAGCTTCAGTATCAGGGGAAGACAGGTTATTTTCATGGTCTTCTACGTCGATGGAATATGTCAGGTAAATCAGTTGACCCTGACAAAAACCTAGAGCAGATGGAGCGCTTGGAAACAGGTAAGCTTTTTAAGCGTTGGCGTCGAGCAGAAGAATACCATGAAGCGGGGGTTCAGTTCATGCGTAGGGAGTATGACGGACAAAGTAGGCATTCTCTGCTGGACATAAGGTTCATCAATGGAGTTATGGAAATTCCGTGTTTGCCAGTTGACGAGTCCAGTGAATCGGTTTTCAAGAACCTGCTAGCACTGGAGCAAATGGACTACAGGTTCGGCAACGACATCAGTGCCTATGCCACTTTCATGTCCCAGATCATGGATACGCCTGCTGATGCCACGCTGCTGGTTGAGAAAGGCATAATTGTGCATATGTTGGATAGTGACGAAGAGGTGTCAGCTCTATTCACTAGACTCACCAAGCAATTGACAATTAGGTTTGATTTAAAATATTACTTAAAACCTTTGTGCCACAAGTTGGAAGCCCACTACCAGAATCGCTTGAATAGATGGATAGCTTGGTTATGGCATAACCACTTTGTAAACCCGTGGTTGGCGTTGGCAGCGTTCGCTGCTGTAGTGGTGCTTGTCTGCACCATCGTCCAGACCATATATACTGTGTTGCCCTTTGTCAAACCTGCATAATGTAATTTAGATCATTTTTATTCTTTGAAGAACTTGGCTATGTGTCCAGACAATTTAGCTTACTATTGTGTCTATCCATGGTATCCTCCCCTGTTCACAGGGAGACAGGACTCTATGCTCTGACAGACTTATATAGCTCTTTTCAGAGCGCACGACCTTTCGCTCAATAGGGCACGGAATGAGAGCATTGCTTTTGATGTATCATTTCACTCGTATAAATAATTTTCGCGCAAGACAGGATTCACATGTTGTCTACTGTGCCCTGGTCACATAAGCGTCCCGTTTCTTCATGAATGTATGTAAAGACTGGAAAAAAAAGCTAGCGCATGCTTTTATCTCAAGGAATTTATCGATTTGGGTTCCATTTTTACAGAAAGTTAAATTCGAGAAATATAATTGGTAGTGAGGCCAACAAAATATAATAAGTTGTTTAAGCAGTATTGATTGGAAATTTGGAATGGGGTAACAGAAATAGTTAAGACGAAATTCAGACTGTAAGACGTGAACGTTTATTTCCGTAGCAACACATGGATATTCAGCTAGTAGATACATGAGTTGCAAGCTCTTTATTTTAACACACACGAGTGACAAGCTCAATTATTCAATACGAAGCAGACACATTCTCGTCGAGAGCATATATTCCTCCATGTGGGTCGCGATAGTATCATCCTAACACGCCTTGGCCTTGCACGACGGAGAGGGAGGGCGTGGAAGGATCATGGTATTGGGTAGGCCGATAATGATTTTCTCGTCTCTGGCATACATCCGTTCTTTTGCTCCTAGAAACACAAGAAATGCTTAAAGCTCCGGACTGTAAGCCTCAGTAGTAAATGCGTACTAAATAATCCCCAAAACAAGTAGCAGAAATTAAGTTGCGAGATCACAACGAAGAAGGAACATACCTTCCACCGGCGTGCTGATTGCCAGCACCTTTCTCTCTGGTAGGCCATGGTTCAGTTCTGGGAGCCGTCGTGCAGCAACAAAAGGGAGTAATGTGACGGACATAGCCAGGAGAATGGCAATGGTGATAGCATGCTTGGAATTCATCTCAACACAACCTTCAGAGATAAGGAGAACAGATGAACTCTTTCTCTATCACACCAGCTTTTATACCCATCCATCCACCCACTACCATCTTTTCTTGATATTTTTTTCCATATGTTTGGCGCTTGGATGCTTGCATTCTTGAGAACTCTATGTTAACTAGGTGGAACAAATATCTTCTAGATTCCTATGTTCACAGCAATTTCTACTAGTAGTTCGGCATGGTCACCGCCCAATTTAATGATACAGATGGCAGCAACATAAGGTCTCCAAATTGATAGAGGATATTCTAATAAATATTTTGTAAGAGTACAAGGCCAACTGAATTGTTTGCCAGATAGAGATACATTGAATACCAACAGTTTATGATGAAGAACAAAAAATGCATGTAAAGTACCATACAAGTTACATGTCCTACTGATGACCCAAACCTGATTCATTTGCAGTGGTTACTCATGACCAGGGGGTTTCCTGTATGCTTCGATAGTGAAGATGGTTTGCACGATGGTGCAGGCAAGCACAACACCCGTCGCTACTGCAGCTATGGCCAACCACGGATTACTGAAATGATTCATCAAGAGCCACGCAATCCATCGGTTCAGGCGACTCTGGTAGAATTCTTCCATAGCCTGACAAAGTGATTTTAAGTAATGCATACCATTGAAATCAAACACAACATCTTTACTAAGCATGGTAAATAGATCAGAGACATGTTCGTCGCTCTCAAGTTGGTGCACAATTATTTCTCTTTCAACAAGTAGTGTTACATCTTCTGGCATACAAATAATCTGTGACAGGAAGACAATGTAAGCTGTGAAGTCATCTCCAAACTGAGGACATGTTTGCTCAAATGCAATGATATTCCTGAAAAGACTGCCTGAATATTCATCAACAACAAGGGATGGAATTTCAATGGAACCATTGCTAAACTTAATGTCTAAGAGAGAATGAGGATCCATATTATCGTATTCGCGTTTCTTAAACTTGACTCCTGCCTCTAGATATTGTGCTACCCGCCTCCATCGATTCAGTTCTTGACCTGATTGTAGGGAATCCTCCTTCTGTTGAGCTAACTGAATTTGCTCGTTGACCTCAGGATGATGACCGAGTCTAAAATATCTCCATCCGAAACTAAAAAACCTATAAATGTACTGAGGTCCAACCTGATAATGATGGCTATTATCCACCTTTGGATTAGGCCTAAGATACATATGACACAAGTGAAGCAAATGTTGAAAATCTCCTGGCCTGTTGGGCCCTCAGATTGCCTTTGGATAAAAAGAGAATGCTTCTTCCACAACTTTGTTCAAAGCATCAGTGATGGATGGAGCCAATGGGACACTACCAGAAGCTAGCTCATAGAGTTTCTTCACAATGAAAAATGGAATTTGATTTTCCAGCAAGAACAGGTCATGATGGAGGAATCTATCATGAACCACATCGCAAATGCTGCATGGTTTTGACCATCTTCATTTGCCCCTTTTCTATCAGTCTGGTTACCATCAAAAGCAGCTTCGCTCCCTGTGTTTTGCCTATCATTGTTTGAATCAAGAGATGTCTGTCCCCCTAGCATATTAGCATCTTCAACAACTATTTCCTCTAGAGCACATCTCTTACTCTCTGCTTCCTTTTTCTGTGCTATAATTTTTTCAATTCCACCAAGAGCAACTAGAATGAAGCATCCGTCCAGTAAGAGCATACGCATAAAATCCTCATCAGTCATATCAATATCCTCAGAATAACAGTACCTTGCTTCTTGTGCGAAATCCCTGGTCGCCAGCAAGTAGTCCAGTAATGTTTTCGTAGGGTTCAATTTAAGAACTTCATCTAGATAACCCCATTTCAACTTCTCCAGGTTCTGCAACTTTGCAGCTCCATGGTGATATGGAGAGCAAATTGCAAAAAACCACCACAATTGTGGACTCTAAATCAAAAAACCACCACCATTCATTTTTTTTGCAAAAACCACCAGGTATTCAGTAATCCTTTTGTAAAAAACACTAACCGATCAATAAGCAGCTTTTAACACAGAATCTGACAGATGGGACCCAGTTGTAAGTGCTGATGTGGCGGTCAAATGTCACACCGTTAGCCTATACTGTTAAGTCGATAGGGGCTTTGACTCGTGCGGCAGCGCCAGCCACGGTAGCTGGGTCTGCCCGCACGCGTGCCCGCCGGTGCAGCTGGGTCCCCCGAGCCCACCGCCCTCGCCCTGCGCCGCTGTCGGACATGGCGCACCGCCCGCCGCTGCAGCTCCTGCCCGCCATGGACGCCGCTCTGGACGATGCTCGGCTCGTCGGAAGCCAACCAGCGCCAGCACTGGACGCGGAGTTCTTATGCTGCTCCACCTCGTGCAAGCTGTGCACGTGCGCCGCCTATATGCTCAAATGGATTAGCAGTAGGCCGGACGCCTCCTTTCCGCCATGGTCGAGCTCCCAAGAGGCCCTCCTCTATCTCCTTGCATTTGATCGAACACCTAGCAGGCAGCGTGGCAAGACGCGGCCGCGCCGCCTGGGTAGTGCGCCACTGGGTCTTCAAGGTCCTTGACAACATCCACGACCACCCATGCTCCTCAACCTCCCAGATAACGGGCATCGCCGTGCTGGCCGCATACTTCGGCCGAGCTGTCGCCGCCGCCGTGCGCTGTCACCGCCGCGTGCTGGCCACCACCGCGCCGCCTCTGCGTCGGTGCGTCCGAGCCGCCGTGCAGGCCCGAGACCTCGGCTCACGCCCTGGCCATCGTGCTGCTCCGGGCCGCTGCACGCGTCTGAGCGCGGGGCTCGCCGTTCGCCATGCGCACGCAGCGCCATCCGAACTCGCTGGTGCACGGGTGCTCCCGGAGGTGGTCAGTGACTCAGGTCGTTCAATCCATCCGCCAGTACATAGCTGGCTAGCCTCCGTATGAATCAATCAAGCAGCTTGTTGTGCACCTGTACGTGCGTATGTATTCGCGCGCGAACGACAACGGGTTCCGGCGTTGATGTGGCTCACCTCGACGGCTTCGCTCCACGGCTCGGTGCTCGTCGTCTCCAAGCTCCGGATCTTGCCCAGCTCGGTGCGGCACCCGAGGAACCTCCTGGAGACGCGAGGAAGCAAAGAACGTGGTCCGGGGCTAACCGGAGCTGGAGATCGTGCGGCATAAGATCCACCGGCTTTGACCTCCGACCGAGCCATGGCCGCAGCTATGTGGCTTGCGGACGCGCACAGAAAGAGGAGAGGAAGAGGAAAAGAGGGTGGCGGGCGGCGGGCGCAAGGAGCAGCGGCGGCGGTGCGAGCTGCCCAGACATGGCGGCGGGGCCGGCCGGCGCGCACGAGGGCAGCGCTGCCGTATCGACCCCATCGGCGGCGGCAACGCTAACTGTAGTGGGGTGGGTCTCAAGTCAACCTAACGGGTGATCCAAACGGTGTGACGAGCGCCGTCTTCATCAGCGCCATGTGGCACCTGACAGTGAGACCTATTCATCAGGTTTTCAATCAAATTGCTTTAATTGACCTATCAGCGTTTTTCGCAAACTGTCAGCACAATAATGGTGGGGTTTTGCAAAAAAACGAATGATGGTGGTTTTTTGATTTAGGGTCCGCAATTGTGGTGGTTTTTTGCAATTTACTCCATGCAGGGTACACAGGAACATGACTTCTTACTAATATGCAGGAGCTCAGCTGGAGAATGGCTACCATTACGGCAGGTGCAGGTGGCTGGGTATTCGCAGATACATCACCTCCGCCTGTTCGACCAAACCAAAAATCAACCAGTCATCACAGATCAATGAATCAACCAACAATCTGTGGTTGATGACTGGACTCTCAATGGCACCGAATAACGGCGACGTACCTGCAACTGGTGGTGCCACTGGATGTCGTTGTTGTCGAAGCCGACGCGATCTGCTGCTGGCGAGGCCGGGGCAGAGGCCGCCGTCGATGGATACCATGTCGATGGGGCCGAAGCCGACCTCACC